CTGGGATTTTGCTGTAGGACCATCTGAGCCACGCAAACCTTTGGCAAAGGAAGGCCAGTGTTTAACAGGACACAGCCAGTGTACAAAACCAACCTGGTTTTAATGATACAACATCCAAGCCCAGTTGTCGCTATAAATGCAGCTCTTCTGTGGCCACCACCGGCTTTGAGGCTGTTTCATCCTAGTTCTCTGTGAACAGGAGCCACAAAATTGGTGGGCAAGCATCGCCACCTGGTGGCTCTGGTTCACGTTGCCGAGTTCGTCACTGTACCTTTTGTCCTTCAAATCTCAAACCAAGGGCTCTGTCGTTTGGCTACGCAGGATAAGTTCAATTCATGAGAAATTCAAGACACCCACACAGGGTGATCAAGTTTTGCATCCCGACAAGTAAAGTTATTCCAAAGCCTGCTATCTACCATCATTGCCAGTTTGTAAGAGAACAGATATTTCAAACCAAAAAATAACAGAGGCCATAAAACTCAGATAAACGACAGTCCTGCTCATGAAAGAACAGGTGAAAATGGTATATGCATTTCATAAATACATAACTATCCCATAACTATATTAATACTCGTGGCGGTTAGTTATGCTGTTGAATGTGTCCACTTGACTAGGCCACGGGATGCCCAGATAGCTGGTTAAACGGTCTTTCTGCGGGTGTCTGTGAAGGTGTTTCCGGAAGAGCAGCATTTGAATCAGTGGCCTGAGGAAAGCAGATTGCCCTCCCCCGTGTGCAGGGGCCTCATCCCACCCACTGAGGGCCCGAACACAAGAAAAAGGCAGAGGAAGGTTGATGTCTCTCTCTCTGCCTCACTGTTCGTCCTGGGACATAGGTCTTCTCCTGCTTCAGACCTGGGACTTACACCACTGTGCCTCCTGGTTCTCAGCCCTCTGGACTCAGACTGAAACTACGACACCAGCTTTCCTGAGTCTCCAGCTTGCAGACGGAAGATCCTGGGACTCCTATGTCTCCTATTGGTCCCCTCTCTCTGGAGAACCCTGAGTGATACAACCAGATTTACATAATTTCCCTTTGTCAATCCATGTCTCAGCCTGGTCAACCAAGCAGAGTGGGAGACAAGGTCTTGTACACAGAGACTTCATTAGGGAGGGACCAGGAGAGAGAGAGCAGGGAGAGGTCTGGAGTAACAGCATCCTTGCCATGGAGAGGCAGCCTGCCCTTGACCCTCCTTACCGCTGGGACTGGAAAAACCCCACTCAGCAGATCAGTATCCCATAGGAAGTTCTAGAAGCTGTGTTCATCTGTTGCAGTGAAATCCTACTGTCATCACAGCAGCTCTGATTGGGCTACGCCCTTGGCTAAGGTTAGAGCAGTTTATGACCATTGTCTAGTACACTTGACCTGGCTTTTGCAGGAGCCAAACAAGTGAACTCAATGGAGCTGTGAAGGGCACACACACGCCTGAATCCTTTAGATCTTTGAAGATGGTGCTCAGGTCTACAATTCCATCTGTGATGCAGCACCTCCCCTGATGTAGTGCTGGGTGGGTGAACGAGTGTGAGTGGCTAAGGATATCTAGCCCAGTTGTGTTCTTGGGAACCAGAGACGTTTCCACAGGGTGGGTCCACGGTCACATTTGACCGCCTGTGGGAGAGACTTGTGCCTGGCTCCATAAGCCACCACTCTACCTGGGGGCTTTCTTGCTGTTTCAGGTCCTATAGTGTCAGTGTCAACTCAGACCCTGCATCCAGCTCTTGGAAGACCTGGTTATTCTCAATTTTCCAGTGTGTAGTCCCTGTGATAAATTACCCTTGGGGAATTGAAAAATGAAATGAAAAGGAGAATATGGATTGACTCTACTTGTGGTGGCTCTGCAGAGTCCTTCCTCAAGTGGACCCAGCCACCCCAAGTGGAATTTCTGGATTCTGGGCTGAGAACTGGGTCAGATCCTAACACTGGCTGAGGGATTGACTTTCCATTGTACTAACCGATGTCAGTCTTCAGATCACCAGATCTTTTCTGGTTGACCCAGGTCAAGGAAGCACCCTAGCTGTCTGCCCTTACTTCTTACCCCTCAGAATACCGTGGGCAGGGAGCCAATGCCACAGACCACGGGGGTCAAGGCATGGCAGTTGCCATTCTGCCCGTGCTTCCTGTCCTACCAAGGCCGTCCTCCCTGCTTCTGAAGGTGAAGTCCAGCCACCCGGCTCTGTACTTCTGGAACGCTACCATGATTTTTGGGAATCTAGTTTCAGAGCAGCATCTGCTACTGTCACACTGGTCTGCACACCCTGAGCTTCGAAAAGATGCTGGAGTTTCCTGACAAGTGCATTTCTGATGCCCTTAGTGAAGGAAGAGTCCTCCGGACCCACCCATGGGGGCTTCTCTGGTCTCATGGATTCAATCTGCTCTATCATTCCCACCTCCCTCAGCCTTCTGACTCTTTTCTCGCCCAGGGAGGTTTAGCATCTCCACCTCATTTACTGTATCCTATTTCATATGGAAACTTTGTGGAGCCATCCCAGCAGCAGATTAGAAGTGGCTCCTTGGCAGGAGGTTAAATCCTGAAGGAGATGCCCGTGAGTCAACAAACTCTCTGCATCTACTCCTTTATTCTGCCCTTGCTAAAGACACACATATATCCACACGTATTGCCTAGTTCCTGCTGGCTCCCATGAGCCAATACTACAGTTCCATCAGTGAGTAAGCTATTTCCTCCTGCAAAAGGGGCTGTTTTTCCTCACTCAGGCTCTCCTGAGACTTAATCCAACATATTGGTGTAGAGGTGATGAGGCAAGGTGTGTTGCTTCTTGAGATGGATAAGCATCGTTTTGTGAGGTATTCGTTCAGGTGGAGTTTTAGCATGGTGCCTAGGCATGGGGAGGCAGCTCTGCTGTGTCCACGAGAGAGGGCCACTTCTGCTGGCCTGCAAATGATCAGGCGGTTTCTGTGTTTGAATATTGTCAGGTGCATGGTTCCAAAACGCCCCATCCCAATCTCAGGTTTCCACTCCTTCACTATGAGGGCCTGACCTCAGCACAGGAGACCTGCCAAGGCTGTCCATCCAGCCTCCTCTGTAACGCTGTCACCCTCATGACAAAATCGCATGCCTATTGCTCCTTTGTGGCTGCAGGAAATGCAAGTCTTTTAAACAGCAGTATGCAGGCCTGCTGGTTTTCATGGCATGCCCTGAGTGAAGAGCTGGCTGACCTGAATCTGTCAGTATCTTTCCACAAGGACTCCTACACAGTTGACAAAGCCAGCCATTAAACCTTGCATTGCGTCTGGTGTCATGGTTTAGTTGGCGAGCTCGCTTGGGCAGCCCTGGGTTCGCCAGTTCGGCTCCTGGGCATGAACCTATACATTGCTCATCCAGCCATGTGGTGGCGGCATCCCACATGGAAGAACTACAAGGCCTTACAACTAGGATATACAACTATGTACTGGGGCTTTGGGGAGTTGAAAACAAGAAAGAAAAGAGGAAGATTGGCAATAGATGTTAGCTCAGTGCCAATCTTCCTCACAAAAAGAACACTTGCGTTTATCTTTCACCTCATCCTTGCAGGGGTTATGAGAGATGGACAGCTTAACCCAATGCTTTGAGCCTGCCTATACCTCAGCCCCCACCGTGAGTAAGAGTCTTAGGAATCATGATGCTACAACAAGCCTGGGTGATCACCAGCCCACTTCTGGGGCCAACTGTTTTAGCTTTTCTCTCCCACAGGCTTCGAGTAACACTTGTGCTCCAATAGCTTCCTTGGGAGGTGTCAACTTTAAAGACTTTTCACCTGTCATTTTACCCACAAAATGAGTTTATTCAGGAATATTTGAGAGGATTGCAATTTGGGATGCGCCTCCTATGGCAAACCCTAGACAAATCCAGAAGACAAAAGAGGGGAGCTGCTTTGAAAGGGGAAAAGGGGGAGGTAGGGAGGGGCTGCTCTAAATGCAAGTTCATGGCGGAAAGGAAGCATCCGGGGCAGTAACAGGTTCTCATTGGCTGAGCTCCAGCGTTTCTCATTGGCTGGGCTGTGACTGGGTGGGGAGAGAAATCTGCCTCAGTAGGAAAGTAGTGCTACTTCCTGTAGAAGATGCAGACTTCCAGCCTCCCCCTGGATGGTGTAATTGACGTTCTCTGATAGGGCGTGAGAGCTCCCCCTACACACCTTCCCAACCCCAATTTGAAGTTTCAGAGTTTCCCAGAGGGGATCCTAGGGAGAGGAGTGAGGGACTGGCAAGAGTCAGGCAGGAAATGGCAACACAAGAGACTCTATTGAGGTCATCACTGTGATCACTGGAGTCCTGAATCTGCCAGGACTCCAGAGCAGTGGACAGAGGGCTGCCCCAAATGGACCACAGGGGTACTCTTTACCCATTGGCTCCTAACCCCCTAGATTGAACGTTGCCTCTAGGATGTTAATTCCCCCTCACTTCCAAGCTGTATGTGTCTATGGGCCCCATGAGCTCCTTTCTGCGTCTGAGGCATCTGTGGAGCTTCCTGGTAGAAATTTAAACATGCACGGCATGCACATGGGACAAGAAGCTTGAAGGGAGTCAAAGCCTGTGGGAACTGTTCATCCCCCCATGTCGGAGATCCCAGAGGTAAGGCTGGGAAGAAAGACTGAGGACGTGGAAAGCTCCTACTCCAATACACATCTATAGCTTTACAAACTTAGATGAAAACCCAAATTTTACATTGGCCCCATGGCCAAAGTCTATTGGCTGCCCTTCCTCCATCTTTCCAGCCTCCTCTCCTACCTCTCTCCACCTCCTCACTCACCTCCAGCTATCCTGCCTTCTGCGTGTCTGTAGGGGGAGGGGGGGGTCCAAACACACTCCAGGTGTGCTCACTCAGCATTTCATCAGAAGAGCCGCAAACCAGAGGCAGCTCCCAGGAGCCTCCAGCCCTCTCTTTCCACCAAGATTGCAGGGTTTCCTCAGTAGTTCACGAGGGTTGAAAATGGGTTTGGTGAAATGAGTGACTTGTTAATTGGTGTATCAGTCAGGGTTCAATGAGGTGACAGAAACACCCTAGTGATTCGAAGAGACAAAGTTTAATATAAAAACCCACGAACTAATGGGATAGGTGCACTCTGGAACTTTATGGAAATCCACCCTTTTGAAGGCTGAGAAAGACGTTCGAGGGGAGGGGCCTCATGGGAGGCGTTCAGCTAGGGCCTTGCCTGAGGGGGCTGCTGGAGGAAGCTGTTGGCGGCTCTGTGCTATGGGCCAGCACTAGGGCAGGAGCCTGGCGCTGGAGAAGCCATTTGTGCACCTGCAACCAGGAAGGAAGTCCTCTTTCCCCGGCTCTGTCTTTCCAAGAAAAACACATAAAGGGCCCAGCTGCATTCTCCCAAAGCAGGCCATGAAGAGTGGATTTGGAGCCGAGAGGCCATATACTGATACCTGACAGGACTGGCATTGGAGGCTAGGAGAACGGGGCCGGCCTTTGTGAAATCAGTGGTTGTCAAGAGTTGGAAAGCAGATTTTGGAGCTATTCTTTCCCTTGCGTGAACAGGTTTGAGAATCAGGTTTGGCCTTTACTCTTAGAGATGACACCGGACGTTTGATCCTCAAGCAGTGCCCCTCGCGCACACGAGGCAAAGTTTTGGTGGCTATCCTCATCTACGAAAAACAAGTTAAAAGTTGAGCAGGACTATTTGGGGTTAGCTGAACCACTTGGGTTCTTTGCAGCACACACACCCAAGCAGTCTCACCTCTGGGCCTTTGTACTTGCTATAGCCTCTGTCCGGACCCTCTACACGGGATGTTTACATGGCTCACTCTTTCATGGCTTCGAGCCTTGGCTCAAATGTCCTCTGAGAGGTACACAGCAAGACAGGCTTAAACGCATAAGGGGTTTGTGCAGGGAAATGCCTCTGTAAAAGAAAATGGGGTGGGGAAGCCTGGGAATGTGGGAGAGCCATCAGGCCACGAGGCCAGTCAGACTCCAAATGAGGGAGAGAGAGAGGGAAGGCCAGGTAAAGGGGACGTGCACAGCTGCAGAGTCTAAGGAAGGCTCGGTAAGGCCACTGGGGAGTCTGGGAGCCCCAGGAGACCAACAGAGGAGTCCATGCCTCCCAGGGACAGGTCTGCCCAAGTGTCCGTCCGTGTCTCAGTCACTGGGAGCGGTGCAAGGGAAGCAGGAGCTCCGTGCAAACAGAGGATAGGGTTCCCGGCCCAGCAGACCACTGATCTCACACCTTTGTTTCCTGACGTTCCCTGGAGTTGGCGGCCTTGGACGAGCAGTCCCCTGGATACCTTGTCTTATCAGTCTGCAGTCCATGATCACCCTCTAGAAAACAGCCCTAGAGAACGGTCAAACAGCAACCACATTTCACCAGGAGACTGTAAAATCATGTTTCACAGACTGGATACAAGGCACATTGCAGGACAGCAAAACAATTTGAATTGGTCTCGGGAGTAGATTAAAATTGGATTCCTTCCAGGGATCAAGCAATACAAAGAGAAAGAGAGAGAAGGAAGCAAGGGAGAGAAGAAAGAAAGAGTTTGCCCTCAGCATTTGGGACTAGGATTTGGGAACGCCTGTCATGGATCCTAACGGGCTGGAAGACATCCAACAAGCCCTAAAGTCAAAACACCTCATTCATTTAAAAAGACTGATTTCATGTATTGATTCTTTCTCAGTCCCTCATGTTAGAAGTGAGATCCAGAGAAAGGAGACAACTTCCCAACAGCACGTAGCAAGTCAGCAGCAGAGCCTAGACAAGAACCCAGGTGCCCAGACTCCCCAATCATTCATTCCTGAGGGCCTCCCTTGCTCCCAGCTGCAAGCTAACCTCTAGGAGGACAATGGTGAGGACAATCTGAATGAACTGAATTCCTGCCTTCACAGAACTTCCAAGGAGGTGCTTGAGCTGGCTCTTCCAAGACGAGTAGGAGTTTGCCACACATGCGCCGGGAAGGAGGGCAGTCGAAGGACATTCGGGGCACTGTGTGCAAGTAGAGAGGCCTGAAGCAGCACAGGGAGTCAGCAGTTGCATTCCAGCCCTCTGATTCCAGCAGAGTCAAGGGCTGAGGGCGAGGTGATCTGGAGAGGAGCATGCGCTGTGAAGACAACAGGAAAGCCTGGCAGGGGTTTGGGCAGCGAAGGACAACAGTAGGAGCTACGCTCTAATCACTGGGGCTGGAGCACGGACTGAGCGGCCTGGTAGCAGGCGGCAGTGGGGAAAGGCCGCGACAAGGCCAGGTAAGAAATGAAGAGGGCCAGAGGCAAAGGGAGGAAACAGGAGAGGGAAGGGCTCTGTCCTGGAATTGTGCAGGGTGGGCCACCCTCAAGGGTCCCCCAGGCCAATGCCAAGAAGCAATGGGCCTTGCAACAGGAAGCGCCCTGCGCCCGACGAGCCGGGCAGACGCTCGGAAACGTGCGGGGCGCGGGTAAGCGGCTGCGTTCAGACGGAGTGGAAGCTCGGAGGAAGCTCGCGCACTAGGTGGCCGAGCCGGGACCTGATCCCCAGCGTTCACACGCTCAAGGTCCCTGCCCTCCCGCCGCCGCCCCCAGTTCCTTGATCGTCAGCCAATAGGAACCGAGACCGCCGGCGGTTCCGCTTGGGCGTGGGGTCAAGGGTCACCTATGATGGCGGCGCTCAGCAGCAGCTGAGGCGTGAAGCGGAGAATGGCGCTGGCGGCGGAGGCTCGGCTGGGGCGCCGGCTGAGCTCCGGGGCCGAGGCGAAGGCCCTGGACCGCGGCCGGGCGCTCGCGGAGCCCGCGGAAGGCGGCCGCGCCCGTGGTCCGGTAGGAGGGCGCGCGGCCCGCGCCGAGCGCATGTTCCTTCAGCTTCAGCCTCTCGGGGCGCCGGACAGGCCCCCTTCGTGCGGCCCAGCTCCGAGCCAAGCCCCGCCGGTTCGCGGCCGCGCCGCAGGCCCCCGCCAGTGCCCTCCCGAATGGAGTCGGAGCCGAAGGTCCGGGCGGCGCCTCCCTCCCTCCGTCCGCCCTCGCCTCCGCCACTGCTCCCCGGGCCCTCGGCCTCTTGGAGAAGCTGCGAGGCACGGGGTCTGCCTCCGGGCGGACGCCTCTCCGGCGGCTGCAGGCCCCGGAAGGGAAGGCGGTTGGCGCGCTGCCCAGTGATGGAGCGGCTGGGCATCCGCTCCTCCCCCGGGGGTCGGGGTTGTCACCACAGTTGAGGGAGGAACGGGAGGCTCAGAGAGGTCAAGGGACAAGCCCCGGGCCCACAGCTGGCAGGCGGACGCACAGTGGCCTCCGCACTCGGGCCGTCTGACTCCCGAAGTTCTGCTGTTCGGAAGGGCGGCTGCCAAAGGTCAGGGAAGCCGTGGGCCGGCTGGAGTCGCTGAGCAGCTGGGAAAGGACGTGTCGCCCGAGCGGGTGCAGGGGTGAGAGAGGAAGGAGCGAAGGTCCGAACGCACTCGAATGGCTGCACTGCAGGCCTCTGCGTTGCCTCAGGTTTGAGAAAATGGCAGCAGAGGGCGGCTCCCCGGGGCGGCTCATCTGGGAGCCCATGCTCGGAAGAGCGAAAATGTGTCAGGATGCGTTCTCGTTGGTGCCGGTTGTGGAAACCTTGGTGGGGGATGAAAAAGAAGCGGATCGGGCCAGTTTGGCTTCCGCCTTCTCTGCCAAGGGTGAGGAGTGATCTTTAACTGAAAAGGGGCGAGAGCAAGAGAAACAGGATTTCAAGCTCCAAATGAATGAAAAGTTGAGTTGTTTCCTTCTTAATAGGGAGTTGTAACAGTGATTTATGTGTTCCAGATGGATAGAGGTACCTTATGACATGTAGGATATGTGCGAGTATTTGCTGCCAGTCCGTGGCTTTTCTTTGTATTCTCTTGAGAGTGTCCTTTGAAGAGCAAAATTTTTTTTAATTTTAGTGGAATTCAATTGATGGCTTTTCTGCCCTGGATTGTGCTTTCGGTATATCTAAGAAATCTGTGCCTAACCCAGCATCACAAAGATATTTTTCCCATGTTTTCTTCTAGGAGCTTCATAGTTTTAGGTCTTGTGTTTAGGTCTATGAGCCAGCCACTTGAGTTGATTTTTGTGTATGGTGTGGGTTACGGGCCTTTTTTGCCTGTGGATACCCAATTGTCCTAGGATCATTAGTTGAAAGACTATCCTTTCCTTGTTGAATTGCCTTGGTGCGTTTGTTGAAATCAATTGGCTGTAAATCTAAGGATTGATTTCTGGCTGCTCAGTTCTGTTGCGTTCATCGATATGTTTGTCCTTATGCTAAGATTAAACTCTCTTGTCTTCTGTAGCTTTATCAGAAATTTTGAATTTTTGAAATAGAAGTCCTCCAGCTGGTCCTTGTTTGTGGAAGTTGTTTTGGCTGTTCTGGGTCTTCTGCTTTTCCATACAAATTTTAGGATTGGCTTGTCCCTTTCTGCAAAAATTCTTTTTGGATTTTGATAGAGATTGTGTTGAATCTGTAGGTGGATTTGAGCACAAATGCCATCTAAACAATTGTGAGTCTTTCAGCCTATGAACATGGAATATCTCCCCATTCAAGTAGTGTTTAATTTTTCTCAGCTGTGTTTTGTAGTTTTCAGTATACAACTCTTGGATTTCTATTGTTAAATCTATTCCTAAGCATTTTATTGTTTTTGCTGGTATTTTGAGTAAATTGTATTTTTAATTTCGTTTTTGGAGTGTTCATTGTTAGTATTTTCAAATGCAGTTGGTGTTTGTATTCACCATGTGTCTTGTGACTTTGCTGAGAACTTGTTTATTTCTGTAGATTTCTGTGTATTTCTTAGGAGTTTCTACCTATAGGATCATGCATGCTCTCTGGTTGTCTGTGAATAAAGACAGTTTTACATCTTCATTTCCAATTTTGTTGGCTTTTGTTTATGACCACCAGTGATCGTAGTGAGTACATCCCATCACTCTTACGTTGTCACATACTGTTTACTGTAGGGGCTTTAGCTCTATTGACTCATTTAGTTCTCACAACAACCCAATAAGAGAGACACTGTTGTCATCTCCGTATCGCATAGAGGGAAACAGACACCGAGAGGTTAAGCTGTCTACCTAGGTCACAGCTGGTAAGGGTCTAACAGCTGTAGACCCCATGGTGTTGCCAAGATTCAAACTAAGGGAGTCTTCAACTAAACTGCTCTGCGAGCCTGTGTCTTGCTGAATGGGGAGGATATGACACCTAGATCACTGGGTGAGTGTGAAGGTGAAATGAGATAGTGCCTCTCAGACACTTAGCACATAGTAAATGTTCCGTATAGTGTTAGTTGCTGTGTTAATAGTGTGTGTTCTTGGAATGGGTCAATAAGCTGCCATTTCTTGCCAGAAAAACTTGACATCGCCAATCAGTTGATGCTTTCTGGGAACTCTTTTTCAGATTTCCTCTGCCGCCTGTGGCTATGGATTCCCGCTTCTGTCCTCTAAAACCAAGGATGTGACGAAAGTTTGGGGAATGGGACTCAAAGGTTCTCAGCTTGGATTTCACAGGAGCCGGAAAGAGAGAAGTGTGCACTCTCCCCTTGGCTTTCTCTGCTGTGACTGGGCTGAGAAAGCTCCCTCTGACTTTCAGGAATCTGATGACACAAACCAAACCGGAACAACAACACAGAAGGAGGCTATAATGGTGCGTTGTTTGAAACCCTCTGGACTACATTATTTTTCAGCCTGTTGGGTGATAACTGTGAACCTTTAGACAAAAGGGCGTTTCGTGATAAGAAAGATGTTGTCTTTTGGCCCCAGAGAGACGACCTTTCTTTGCTGGCTTGGAGATAGCCTGAAACACTCTACACTGCCTAGAATGTGGTCTGGGGAAAATTCAATGAAATCCTTAAGATGGAGGCCGTATTCCAGATATTCGAAATTGGATTGCGGTAATGCTAGAAGTGATTTATGATGGCTTTTCAAAAAATAGACATTAGTCCATCCATATTATAAGTACAATAAGAAACATTTTTTAAAATAAAGGGGAAATTACCTGGAAATATATACTAGACAAACCTTTCTTTTCACTTTTCTCTTCTTCCCTCATTCATTTGTAAATATATTTTTTATGTAATTCTGATCATAGCATAGGTTTTGTTTTCTGCCATTTTTCACTTCATTTTATATCACAATTCTTTTATACTTAGTATTGCACGCTTTATGTGCTGTGAGATGCCACGTTGCCTTTCTTTATCCGTTTCATTAGGAACAGTTTTAGACATGCAGACGTCGACAGAATAGGATAATGCATCCCGCGGACCGTCACCAGCTTCAGCCATCATCAGCTCATGCCCGGCTTGTTTTATCCGTTTCCCGACCTTCCCCCTGATAAATTTGGAGCAAATCCTAACGTCATTGATGTTTGTTCATAAATATTTCAGTATTTATCTTAAAAACTAATGACTCAAAAGCAAAAGGTAAATGCAACATCATTATCGCACTTAAATGTTAAGAGTATAGTCTCTTCATATCATCAAATATCCAATCAGTGTTCAAATTGCCAGTTGTCTCATAAATGTCATTAGATTTTTATTTTTTTAATTTAATTTTTTTTTTTTTAAAGATCGGCACCTCAGCTAACAACTGTTGCCAATCTTTTTTTTTTTTTTTTCTGCTTTATCTCCCCAAACTCCCCCAGTACGTAGTTGTATATGTTAGTCGCGGGTCCTTCTAGTTGTGACGTGTGGGATGCTCCCTCAACGTGGCCTGATGAGCAGTGCCGTGTCTGCGCCCAGGATCCGAACTGGCGAAACCATGGGCCACCACAGCAGAGCGTGCGAACTTAACCACTCGGCCACGGGGCCAGCCCGGATTTGTAATTTTTTTAAAGCTTTTTCTTCAATCAAAATCCGGATAACATCCAGACATTGCAATTGATTGATAAGACTTTTAAAAATCTTTTAAGTCTCTTTTAATGTTTCTTCCTTGAAATTTATTTATTGATGAAATCACATCGCTTATTCTGCACAGTTTTCCAGTCTGAAGTTTGTTGAATGCATCCGTGTTGTGCCATTTGACATGATCCTCTGTCATCTGTATTTCCCCTCAATTGGTAGTTGGACCTAGAACCAGATTCCCTTTGAATGTTGTGTGTGTACTGCTTGCCAGGCCCTTAGGGGTCTGTGCAGGTAGTAATGGGGCATGTGAGTTACTTTTCAGTATTTTAAACTATTCTGCATTTTCAGCTTATAGGGCTGTATAGGCTAACATCATTGTCCAGTTTCTTTGATTTTGCCTAGAATCACATCATCTCATTATAAAAAACCAGTTATTTGATGCAGATCGAAGCTCTGTCTGAAATTATGTCAGTCATTGATGGATACTAATGGGCGAGTGTATTATAGTAGTAATAATGCTATTTATTTGGTAGGGAAAATCTTGTTACACATGGGGTTCCTAGGAGAAAATAGGGCATCATTAGTGGGGAGTAGGTTGAGACTAGTGTATTTGCAGATATTCTCCTCACCTCCAGCCTCCATCGTGAATATTCAAAACCTCATCGTTTAAAACCTGTGTGAGGAAGTGAGCCCCAGTGGCTTAGTGGTTAAGTTTGGCGTGCTCTGCTTCAGTGGCCTGGGGGCGGTTCCCTGGTGTGGACCTACACTACTCACCCCTGGCCATGCTGTGGCGGCAGCTCACGTACAAAAGAGTTGAAGATTGGCCATGGATGTTAGCTCAGCCTAAATCTACCTCAGCAAGAGAGAAGGAAGATTGACAGCAGATGTTAGATGAGGGTGAATCTTCCTCAGCACAACAAACAAGAGACCTGGGAGAGGAATTTCTTACGAAGACCAACCTGGCTTCTCCAGTAGGGTTTTAGAGAACAATAAGGTTCTTCTTTAGAGTGACTCCTAAACATCTTTCCTCCTTACTTATTTAAATATTGAAATTGTCGATTTTGAATAGATAACCTATTTGCATAATTCAGAATCCTTAAGGTGCAGTAGAAGATGTGATGAAAAGTCTGTCTTCCACCTCTGTCCTCGCAGCATCATGGTTTTTCTCCCTGTAGACAACCTGTGTTAACAGTTTTCAGTTTGTCCTTCTAGAGAGAGTTAATGCATCTGCAAAGGAGTACATCTGCGTATTCTTTTGGTCTCCTTTTCAGATAAGTGGTGTCATATAACATGCTGTTCTTCACCTTCCTGAGGAATCGGAGTGGATGTTGCAGGAAGAAAATGTTTTTCCTTTCCTGAAAAATTCAAGTGGTATTAAATGACGTGGGAGAAGCTTTCTTTACTGAGACTAAGGATGCTTTTCAATAAGTCAGTGTGTCATGGAGGTGATGTGGTGCAGTGGGCTGGAGCTGGAGACCGGCTTTCTAGTCCTTGCTCGGCTCTAACATATGTGCCTTGAGGAAGTCATTCTGATATCTGACTGGGTAACAACGTGGGGGTCGGGCAGTATGACCTTTAGTGTTACAAATGCTATGACCCTCCATCAGTGCACTGACCCTGGTGGTGGGTCAGCAAGGGGATAGGAGGATGTTTTGGAGCCCTCGCCCGTCCCACTGCCTCTGGACAGACCTCAGGAGACACGGGTGCTACAGATCTCCTGCGGCAGAGCCCACCCTCTTGTCCTGGCAGATGGCGAAGGAGGTGAGTTGACCTGCTGGAGATTGATGTCGGGGGTTGGGGAGCCACTTGCCTGCTGTTGAGCCTGAAGTGGGCATTTCATTGAGCCCCATCTGCTTTGTGAAGCTGTGGGCATTCCCGAGCCAATCAGTAGGATGGCTCCAGAGAGCTGTGTTGACAGACCTTGCTAACTCTTTTCTGTTCGCTGCTCTCTGTGGCTCTTGGGAAGTCTCAGTTATTATTGACATGACAGCGCACACCAGGCAGCCTCCTCAGGGCCTCCCGCTCCCTTTGCCGTGAAGTCACCGAGCCGGGCTGCGTGTGCAAATGGCTTTTCCTCTTGTACTGAAAGAAGCCCATCTGCTAACACTTGTTGTGCATAGCGGGGGCTTTCAGAGTCCGGGATCCTGGGTTACCCCAAGGCTCTTCAGAAGAGCGGTTGTTTCCAGGGAAGGCCAAGATGGCTGAATTTTTCAAGTTTCCTTTTCTGGCGCCGTGTGCTTTGTAGGAAAACACAATGGTGGTGTTTAGGAAGTCTTTCAAGAGGGGTGTTGGCATTGAGAGCAGCCTAGTGACAGGTCCAGGGAATGGGGTTGCTGAGGCCTTTCACAGGAGGTGCTCACCTCTCGTGGACTTTCCGGGAGGCAGGAGGACGGCCCAGAGGGGAAGCAGAGGGACAGTAGAGGTGGCCTAGCTGAGAGTGTGCCTGCACTGGCTGGGAGTGCTGGAGGAGGAAACCCAGTGGCCATTGAGTGAGCCGTTGGACTGGCACCACTTTCCAGACCCCCTTCCGGTCCTAACTTTCTTGGATCCCCGACCCTGCAGAACTGATTTCCCTGCTGGTGGTTTCTTTAGGCTTCAGCTTGCGAAACAGCTCTTATGGGCAGTGTGCGTGGAAGGTGATCAAAAATGGAATTTGCTCATGAGCCTCTGCAGAGACGACCACTTCCAGAATTGTGTTGAGCATTAAACATTTCTGGAGTGGCTAATGTGGGATCGACCCACAGAGCAGAGAAAGCCAGGTTCCTCGTGCCTGAGAGGAGCAGGGAGCCCTCCCCAGAGAGCTGTGGGGAGGCTGTTCCGTTGCAGGGAGAGCTCCGTCTGTGAGCCTGGTGGGAGGGAGGGGGCGTGAGCGTCTTGTGATGCCTGGACGCTCTTTGAATCCTTCTTTTATTTTTAATCAAATTGACTAAGTTCAAAAATTTGTCATGTTAGTCTGAAAAAACTTCCCCCCAGCTCCTCACATTATGCTGGTGGATTAAACACCAGTCGCAGCTCTGGCAGCAGGTGAACATCACCAAGGGATTTGCTGCTTTTGTTTTACTTTGCGACCCGCGTCTAACTCTGCCTTCTCTCTGACCTAACAGTTCCTATGTGCGTGTGGGGCCGCCAGTTAGGGGTGATGGGGAGGGGCCAGAAGCCCACATTGTTCACCGTGACCATATCTCTTGCTTCTCCCCAGATTGCTCCCAGCCGTAGTGACAGTCACGAAGTCCACAGAGTGCAGGACTTCGATGAACAGGTGTTCCAGGTAAGAGACGTGGGCTGAGAGCCACTTATTCTGCCCCTGGGATGCTTTAAAAGGCTGAAATTTGGGTGGGGTGACGGCATATCTGTTAGGGGGATTTTCTGAATTAATACATTATTTTAGTAAAAATTATTGCCTGCGTTACCTAAGCCAGGATGTATGGTGGATTGTGAGGTACCAAGTTTGATCAGGTTTGGGGGGATAACACTCGTGGGAGAGACAGGTTACAAACACTAGCTGTACCAGAGAAGAGAGTGTCCCAGCACTGTGTGTGTTCCAGGCTGACTTCATCTTGCTCATCATTTTGTTCCCATCCCTGGGGCAGTGCCTAGCACGTGGTAGGTACCCATAGTCAATCCATAAATGAATGCAAACAGAAAGTGCTGTGAGAGTAGCAAAAGGGGAATTGGTAAGTCTCCCAGGGTGGAACAGAAGGGAGAGAAGGAGGTGGCAGGGAATTTACCAGGTAGACTGGGGATGGGTGGCAGGAAAGGTTCCATGGCAGAGGGGAGGGGCAGGGGGAGGCTTTAACTGCTGAGAGCCTGAGGGGCGGCTGGAGTTTGGTGTCCTTCCAGGGCAGCAGTGTGGGAGAGGCTGGAGGACAGGTGGAGAGTGAGTGATGCAGGATTTTGTGGAGTTGGGGGAGGAGGTGATGAAGGCCACTTGGGGAGCTGTGGGGAGAAGGGATAGGTGGGGAGACGTGTAAGGAGAATTGACCGGATTTGGGGCTTGATTCGATGGACGGAGTGAGCTAGAGGGAGTCGAGCATGACTCCACAGGCCAAAGAGCTGCTGCTGATGTTCTCAGCCCAGATCGGGGAGTCCCAGAGGAGGAGCGGGCTTGGGGTGGGTGGGAGGGGGAAGCAAGGAGGAAGTAGAGAGTGTATCTGCTTTTAGGGTTGCGGTAGAGTGTAGTGCTTCTTGCACAGGCTTCAAAGTCACATGGATGCGAGTTCAGGTCCCTGCTTCCCCAAATAGTAACTGGATGACTTCAGACAACTTACCAACCTTCTCTGAGATTCAGTTTCTTGTTAGATGGTCTTGGATATTGTCTTAGCACAGTGGAAGGCATGATAAGCAGTCATTAAAGGTGCTTTTCATTAGGCTGTTAGAAAAATAGATCTGGAACTCAGTAGAGTTTTGGGGACTGGACGTAACAGAGTACAGTGGAAAGGGAAAGTCTTGGGAACAGATGCTGCCTCCCAGGGGAGGGTGAAGAGTGAGGAGAGAAGAGGGCAGAAGACAGACGTTGGAGGAGGCTTCCAGCACTGAAGGGTGAGGAGTAGAGGCGGAGCTAGTGACACACATTGGAAGCTCTTAGAGAGGCACAAGAGAGGGATGGGGAAGAGAAAGGCTCCTGGAGGAGGGAGTGGTTCCTCTGGGGTGCAGTGCGATGGAAGAGCTCTTGGGTTTGCTTCTTAGGATGTCGGGCACCCTCCTTTAGCAAGAGCACTTTCTGTGCAGTGGGACAGAAGCCAGGCTGCAGTGGATTGAGAAAGAATCTGATGTGGAGGCCGTGTGGGGCAGCCTGCCTGGATCCAGGCCCCTCGGGGCTCAGGAGGAGTAGGGAATGCTACCGTGCTTTGGGTCCATCGACTAGGACACTGGGCTTCCAGACTTCTTCTCATCAACCTCTGCTTTGTTTGTCTGATAGGTTGTGTGTGGTCAGGATCATAGTCTGTTCCTAAGGGACAAAGGAGAAGTCTGTTCTAGTGATGGGGCACAGATGGACAAACAGATAGTGCCCCTCACTCCCCCTTGGGAGGGGCCGTATGCAGATGTGAGCTATAGGGCTCTTGGGGCTGGAACCACGTGCCTTACTTTGACTTATCATTTCCTGGGGACACCATTCTCTTTGTCCAGTCCATTTCCCCTCACCCCAGCTCCCATGGACAGGAACTGCCAAAAGGATGGATGGAGGATTAGAGCTGCCCCTCAACAAAGGGCCTTTCTCTCTGCAGAGTGAGTGCTGAGCCTTTTAAAGAAGAAACAAGGGCACCAAAAGGGAGCTCAACTTGAGCTGATTTCAGCAGAATGTGGGTAAGGGAGAGAGGAATGAGAGAGAAGCTTTCTCAACCTTGTATAGTTAATCTCATCTTTTTGTGTTTGATATTTGTCTGAAGGGAGGGCCTTTAAATTAAGACTTAAATGTGGTATAATCCTCAATAATCCTACCACCGCATCAGATCATCTTTGCTCACTGTCTCGTGTTTCCTTCCAGTCCTTGTTCCTCTGTGTACATCTTTTATACTGTCGTCGTAGCATAGGTGTGGCTTTATATGCCCTTTTATCATTTGCATAAAACATTTTTCCATGTTGGTGCAATCAGTTTTCACAGTTACGGTTTTTAATATTTGTGTGATATAGCATCAGATTAATTTACCATAAGGTAATTAATCCGTTAACCCTTTTATCAAGTCGTTACTTAATCATCACCCTGTTGTCAGCAGGCATACTATTTTGGGGAGTGAGTGCAGCAGCCACTGGGGATACTGTGACATTTATCGTGTGTACATATATAGCTTTTGCTTTCATTTGGATTATTGCTCTAGGATAAACCCCGTGAGTGGGTCAGAGGATTAGGATATTTTTATTGTTGTCAGAACGTATTGTTCAATTGCTTTCCAGATACTTTACCAGTTTATACCGCCAGCGGCAATGGAGAGGAGAGCCGCTTTCTTCCTATCCTCACTAGCAGTGAGTATTGTCCATCTAAGTGTGCTCATTTCATTACTGTGCCAGGTTTTTAAACGGGCTTTTCTTTGATAGCTACAAAACTGAAGCTTCTCTTTATTTTCACAGTCTTGGGGTGGGTAGATTTTTCACATCAGGTTTTTGTAAAACTACTGAAACAATTGATTCTGAAGCAGAGACAGGAATAAGGTGAAAAGTAGAAGTCCCACTGGCTGGAGATAACCGTGCTTATCAGTTTCCTGGTGCCATTCTGGAACTTGCCCTCACCTGCTGCACCTTCTCCCCTCCCTGCCCTTGCTTGCCAGGCTCTGAGTCAGCCCTGCTGCCCTGCCCTCAGTCCCTGGAGCGAGCCCTCCTCTTTACTGCCGTAGGGCCTTTGACCGTGCCGTCCCCTTAGCCTGGAACGCTCTTCTTTGCTCCCCTTTTCCTCCTGGGCCTCAGGTCGGGGGTTATCTCTTCAGTGAAGGCTTCCCTGACCATTCTTTCTAACTCGGTGGTTCTTTCTTTCTTCCGGTTTCTCTCCCAGCATCCTGTTCCTTTCTTTCATGATCCTTCAACAAGTCAAGTCACTTTTTAAAAATCTTTTTGATTATGTCAGCATTATGGTGTCTGCGGAAGCTGATGTGTAGGCAGTCCAATTGACCTACACATTCAATGCAATCCCTGTCCGAAGCCCAACTGCCTTATTTGCTGAAATGGACAGGCTCGTCCTCAAATTCATATACAGTCACAAGGGACCACCAATAGCCAAAAACATTTTGAAAAAGGACAGCGTTGGGGGACTCACTTTCTGCTTCCAAAATGTCCTAGAAGGCTATGGTGATCAGAGTGTGTGGTACGGGCATGAGGACACACACAGATCAAGAGAACAGAATTGTGAGTCCAGTAGTAAACACACACACTGCGATCCATTATTTATATTGAGGTACAGTTGACCTACAACATCCTATTAGTTTCAGGTGTGCAACATAATGATTTTATATTTGCATATAGTTCTGAGGTGCTCACCGTGATCAGTCTGGTTAACGTTGTCACCATACGTAGTTACAGAATTGTTTTTTCCCATGATGAGAACTTTGAAGATTTCCTCTCTCAGCGACTTTCTAATACGAGATACAAGTATTGTAGCTGTAATTGCCAAGCTGTACATTACATCCTCGTGACTTGGTTATTTTGTAACTGGAAGTTTGTACGTTTTGGCTCCCTTCACCCATTTCACCCACCACCTCTGGCAACCAGCAATCTGTTCTCTGAATCTATGAGGTTTTTTTTTTTCTTGAGTCCTCGTATAAGTGAGATCGTAGAGTATTTGTTTTCTGTGGCTTTTAGTATAGTCACAGGGTTGTGCAGTCATTACCACTATCTAAATCCAGAACATTTTCTTTTTTCCCCCTGGAGAGAAACACCTCATACCCCTCATAGCCAGTTTTCTTGCATCTATAATTCCATCTACTTCTTTGCCCTGGATTATTTTCAAGCAAATCCTAGATATCATATTTCCTCCATAAAAGTTTCAGTATGTATCTCTGAAAGATAAGGAGTATTTTAAAAACATACTCCCTTCCTTAATATCATCAAACTCTGCCGACATCCAGAAGGGTTTTAGATATGTGTTAACAGGTAACAAGATCTGCTTACAGGGAAACTAAAGGTCAGCTAAGAAGATGAAAGACTGCATTCTCTCTGGTCTGGTGCAGTGGCTAGAAGTACGTACAGATTTGGCTCTGAGCTTCCTAGTAGCCAAAGCAAAGAAGAAAACATGGTCATTTAAATGGTGCATTGTTTCTATAAGATAAACAGCAAATAACTTGTTTAGGAGAAGTACTGCTCTCCCTGATACCAAGGCTGCAAACTTGTCTCCCATGGACTTCCTGTGGGGGCAGATCAGTGTTGTGTCGTTGTTATCTATCGCCACGTAACAGATGACCCCAAGACTTAGTGGCTTAAAACAATACCCATTTCTCATCTCCGTTTCTGTGGGTCAGGAATATAGGAGGGGCTTAGCTGGGTCTTTGGCTCTGAGTCTCTTGAAGGCTGTGGTCATCTTCGGGTTGCACTGGGGAAGGCTCTGTTTCCAGGACTGCACCAGTGGTTGACGGCAGCTGCAGGTCCTCGTGGACTGTTGCACTGGGTCCCATTGCCTCACTGGCAGTTGTGCAGCTAATGCTTGTTGGCCAAGCCTTTCTTGGCTCCTAGCAGTGTAGGCTTCTCCATGTGGCAGCTCCCAACATGGCAGCTGGCTCCATCACAGCGAGCCAATGAGAGAGTAAGAGACAGAAGCCAGTGTTCTCTCATTGATCTTGGCAGTGCCCTCCGTCACTTTTGCTGGCTTTCTGCAGGTCACTAGGCCCAGCCCCCACACAAGGCTGGGGATTACACATGGCTGTGAGTAGCAGGAGACGGGGTTCATTGGTGGCCATCTTAAAACGGCCCACCACAACCATGATCTTTCCTGTGGCCTGAGCCTCACCCTGTCCGTAACAACAGGGGTGCGTTTCCAGAGGCTCTTTGGCAGAGCGCAGGTAGGTAAAGCAGCTCTCTGGGAGCCAGGCAGCAGAGACCAGGCCCCAGCTCTGACAGCCTCATTCATCTAGGCATAGATTTTCTGGATCACTAAGCCCCTTCATTCGTTTTGTGTCAACTTAGGGACTGTTATCGTCCAGCTGTCTTCATTTGAAAATGACTCTATAAAGATTCATTGCTGTCACTAAAGCACTTAAAATCTGTCCATCCAGAGTTCTTTCTCAGCAGAGCGCCAGGATCAAGTCCTGCCCGAAAGCTAAGCTGGCCACACTTGCTCCCATCTCTCACTCTCAGCCGAAACACTTGCCTCCTGTGTCGTTGAGGAAACAGATGCCGTCAGCTGAGAAAGCCCTCAGTGTCCCAGTTGGACTCCCGCCCACTTGCTGGTAACTGTGCCCACCCTGGGCCCCTTCCCTTTGTAGCAGCAGGGGAGGTATGTCTCTCCTGTTGGAGCTGGTGCTTCTCTCTGTGCCCTGCATCCCTCTCCTCCCATCTCCTCCAAAGCCTCACTCCATGTGCTGGGCCTTCTTTCCCACAGCCTCAACCTCCCTCTCTGCTGGCCCCTCCCCATCAGTCTTTACACCTGACTCAGGTGTCTTCATCTTAAGAGGCCCTGTGTGGACCCCTCGATCTCCTCCCGTTCCCCCACCCCTTGGCTTCACCTCCTGCCTTGCCTTCTAGGCCAAACTTCTCTCAGCTGCATTGACTTACTGTCTCCATTTCCTTGCCTCCTTCTCGTTGCTCTGCCCAGTCCACTCAGCTTCCACCCTTATCAGCTTGCTAAGTGCCTCTTGCTAGGGTTCCAGTGACCCCCATGTTGCTGAAAACAATAGTAAAGAACCTGGAGAACATTGTCAAGTCTTGACCTTTCTTGACCTCTCGGCAGCATTTGACGTTGGCCATGACATGCTGACCATCTTTGTGAAGACCAGTCTTCCTTTTGCCCTGGGACTGGACTGTCCATGGGCCGTCCTCCTTTCTCGTCCCTTCTCCATCTCATTTCCTGGGCCAGGCCTTCCCGTGTCGGAGGTCCTCTGTACAGGGACTGTGCTGTCCTTTCCTCTGTGCTCTCTGTCTGAAGGACTCATCCTCACCATGGCTGCATCGCCGTCGTGAGCTCAGGCCTCTCCAGCTGGCAGGTCAGGCCCAGGCTGCTCTTCGGAGGTGCAGACATCTCTCAGTGCCACTTGACATTTGCCCTTGGCCGTCTCTTGGCACTGCAAGTTCAGTGCGTCCAAGACTGAACTGCTTGTCCCCCAGCTGCTCCTTCTCCACTGTTTCCCACATCCACTTGCGGTCCCCTCTAGAGGTCATGTCCCTCCCCTACTTAGAGCCCGTATTGGCTCCCCGTTGTGCTTAGAATAAAGATGAGAGACTTCTGTGGTCTACAGCATCCTGGTGATCTGCCCTCCCTGCTGCCCAGCAGTGTCTTGCAAATACTCCCCGTCGTCCCTGGCGGGATGGGATGGGTCGGGTCCCTTGGGTTCACAGGCGGCAGACCTCAGCCTCAGGGAGGGCTAGTGGTTATGGGCAGAGCTAGTTAGATGAGCTCAGGAATAGCAGGGGAGAGTGACATTCCTGACGGAGAGGTGTTAGCCGTGGTTGATATGTAAACAGATGGACAGCACAGAGCTCAGTAATTCTGTAGCGAAGCTCTGGAATGGAGAAGGAACTGCCATTTCCCCTTCCCTTAGCCTGGGCCCCCGACGCCTGTCCTGCCTCCTCCCGAGAGCCTGCGCTGAGAAACAGAGGCAGGTGGAGAAGAGCCTTGGGGTTTGGATGCTGAGCGCCACGCCTCCAGGACTTGACGTCTGCCACCATTGATGAGTATTCAGCTTTTGATAACCAAAAAGTCATTTCAGAGAATTTGAAGCATCTGGCAGAAGTTGTTTGGGCCTTGGCTTGCCCTTCTGGTCAGTGTGAAACTTACAGCTGTTAGCAGGGAAAACTGTCCTTCTAAGGCTCTTCTGCGTTCACAGGGGATTTCTGGGTAATTTATGGCCTGGGCCCATCCAGGTTACCCTCAAGATGTGGGAAGTTTGTATTCTGAGATTGGTCAGCTGGCTAGACTTACTCCACGAGCAAGAATTTGAAAAAGGAGAAAGAAATGGCAGTGTGGGGGCTGGCCCTGTTGTGCAGCAGTTAAGTGCGCACGTTCTGCTTTGGGGGCCTGGGGTTTGCTGGTTCAGATCCCAGGTGTGGACATGGCACCACTTGGCACACCATGCTGTGACAGGCATCCCACATATAAGGTAGAGGACAATGGGCACGGATGTTAGCTCAGAGCCAGTCTTCCTCAGCGAAGAGAGGAGGATTGGCAGCAGTTGGCTCAGGGCTAATCTTCCTCAAAAAAAAAGAATGGGCAGTGTGGCTAAAGTCACAAAAGTGATGTGAGAGAAATGACAAGCAGTGTGTGAAGAAGGCAGAACCCAAGGAATGCATGGCGCTGAAGGTTACGTTAACTTTTCTCCTAAGAGCCA